TTTCTCTTTTTTCCTTATTTCCAATGACGAATGCCCGGATTTTCAGGAAACGAACTTTTCCAGGGATATCGTCTCATCACCATCGACACTACTCGTTTTAAATCAGTTTTAAAGTTTTCCAGTATAAGGTTTCTCTATAATTAAACAACATCCTAATGTTTTAAGAACTAAAGTATCCAAGTTTATTAGGTTCGTAAATTTTAACGAACGTTCTTTTATTTTGTTGTTGGACTTTCCAGATAATATTATTTCAATATTATATTGAATATTCGGAACGTTTTTAATAATATAATATAAAAAATTTTCTACGATCACTATCGAAAGTAATTTGACATTATTGGTGTTCTTAACCAAACCAATAAATAATAATAATTAAAGCACTTTATTGGTTATGAATATTACAACCAAATAGCCATCGACCTAGGTCCTTCAGCTAGTACAATTTGTATGGTATGTAAGAAGGATTTATTATGAGCCATATTCTTAATGCAAAAGAATATGGCTCATGCTCACATACTTTGACACTGAATGATTTACCATTAGAAACAAAATATATTTTATTTTAATTGTCCAATATTGACTTTACTCTGTTACAAATAACTATTATTAGCAATATTTGTTCAATCTTTACTTAAATGTCCACACCAGCACTCTACTATCCAGAGTGAACTACACGTTTTCCATTTAAAAAGCATTGGTGTCCAAGGTCCTATAGAAATTTAAAACAAGCGATAAAATATGGATTAAAGCTAACAAAAATTCATAGAGTTTTAAATTTTAACCAGTCCCATAGATTTTAACACTAAATTTAGAAAAAATTCGAAAAACAAATTTGAAAAGAACTTATATAAACTTATGAATAACGGCATCTTTGGAAAAAATATTGAAAATGTGAGGAAATATCTTAATGTGAAATTAATTCAGCAATGGCAGGGGCTTTATGGTGCCGAAGCAATGATATCAAAACCTGAATTTAAATCATGTACAATATTCAATGAAAATTTAATAGCACACAAACTGGAGATATTTTTGAACAAACCTATTTATATTGGAATGAGCATTTTGGATTTGGCTAAGACAACTATTTATGACTTTCATTATGGGTATATAAAAAGTGAATTTGGAAATAATTGTTCTTTTTTATACACAGATACGGACAGTCTAATCTATGAAATTCGAGATCATGATCCATATAAAATTATAAAACATGATTGTACTCAATATTTTGATACTTCAGACTATTCACTAAACAACGTTTACGGAATTCCTTAGTTAATAAAAAAAGTACTAGGTATGATTAAAGATGAAAACAGTAGTATACCAATGACTGATTTTATTGGCCTTCGTTCGAAATTATATACTGTAAAAATTGTTAAAACTGAAGAAGAATATGATTCTAAAGAAATTGAAGATATTTTGTTAAATGTTGAATTAATCAAGAAAGCAAAGGGCGTGAAAAAATCCATAGTTAATAGCGTAATAACTTTTGAAGATTATGTAAACTGTTTGGAGACATTTACAAATAAGATTGTTTCGCAGAATTTAATTCGTTCAGATAAACATCAAGTTTATTCAATGACTCAGTAGAAAATTGCCCTTAGCCCCTACGATGATAAACGCTACTTGGTACCTGAATCTTATAATACCTTACCATGGGGACACTACAGCTTATCAGACGCTCCAACTGGACTTAATTAAATACTTTGTATTAAGAGTTATTGCTCCGATGTCAATAGCAGGAAATTTGTATTAAAAATAGGCATTCTGTTTTAATCCTAGAAGACACAGTTTTAAAGATAATACTATATATTTTTTTATGTGCAAAGAGAATAAGTGGCACTAGCCCTGGGTTTTCATACTTTTTTGAAAAAATTGTCCGTTTTGTCTACAAAAAATTATAAAGTTTATTAATTTTGTTTAAAAAAGGACAACTTTTAATAGAGAATTAACATTATCAAACATGCACTATTTTTCGAACGATTAATGTCAACTTGTAGTAAATCTTTTTCTTAATAAGATCAAAATATAATTTTTAAAATTGGACCTAATATAAAGCCGTAATCATTAAAATAGCAAAGTAATTTCGGATATAAAAATGATTGAAAAATATGATTACGATATCCCCTCTCAAGACGTTCCCTGTTGGTACCGAAGGATGGGTGCTGTTGTTTTCCTTGTCTACCTAGTATTGAAATTTGGCCAGATACGGAATAAGGGTACATTTAGGATCGAACTTAAATTTAGTGTTGGTGCGAAGAGGGAAATTTTATTACATGAGATAATTTTGTTTTCAATATAAAATTTGCAATGTTTCAATATATTTAAAACATAATTTGATTAGAAAAAATTAGGTAGAAGAATTATATTGGTATAGTAGGTATATATTATATTTTCTAAAATAATTCATTTTGCAAAGAATATCAACTAAGCTACTAATATAATAAAATCTATAAATCAGCCTTATAAATAATGTATTTAACAAATGTTTCATATTATATTAATAATTTACATGTTTTCTGACTTATCTGTGAATGAAACGTGGAGAAAATAGTTTTATTTACAAGTTTTTCCTGATTTTGTTGCTGTCTGCTGTTTTAGTGATCTGATAATTTGTAGACTGTATAATTGTTTACAGAAAGATATTTCCTTGAATGCCCTCTTTTCAGCATAGAATAAATAAAGCAAGAAGATGACATAATATTTTATTTTGTACAAATATATAAAATATATTAATTTACACCATTTAAAGTATAATATTATTCTGAAATTTTTACAATACGAATGCCTCTGTTTCACAGTATACCTAAGTATACTGTGTCTGTGACGCATTATAAAGAGTGTGCCTAATACGAGTGAGACGATATGCCGAATGCATATAGCTAAAAAGAGAAAACAACACGCCAACAGATCCTGCAAACTGCCAAAGAACACATTAATTGGCGCGCCGCTCACAAACAATTTTTAGCAAACATCAATCTCTAAAAGGAGAAGAAGCCCTTTCATTATAAAAAAAAATCTGATTAAATATGGGGGATTTAAGGGGGGTTGAAATTAAAAAAAAATCAAAAATGAAAAGCGATATCAACATGAAAGTTTTAGTAAAAATCAAGGTCTATAAGGAGATGAGGCCTATTGATTTTGAAAACAATCTGCTTAAAAATGGGGGTTAAGGGGGTCTGTTAAACTGCGAAGAGTATCATTTAAAATGCCAGGCATTATATATCTTTATTCTAGTTTGTGTCTGTGTAATATTATGTATTGGTTTGGGACTGATCTTTTAAAATAAACATTTAAAACATTTTAGTTCTTATTTTATTTGCCAATAAAAGGTATTTAAAAAATATATTTATATTTATCTGTGATAAATTGTGAAAATTATTAAACTTACAATAAAGCTAAAAAATGGTAGGTAAAGTTTCATATAAAATTTATTCATTTTAATTGGCTTAAATCAAGTCTATTAAGAACTACTATTTTTAATTCAATCTCGTGCCTGGTTCAACCGACGATTCCCTTTCCTGTTTTACCATTTAGTTCAGGCACTCGTCGATAGATCTAAAAACAAGCAAGTCGAATCGTTACCAACCATTTTCGATCATTCAACACGTGCACTATTCGGAGTAAAGTTTTGATATGACTAAACTGCAAACAGAAGAATTTAATCTTGGCAACACTGTCTCTTTTCATAGCAGAAACCCCACCAACGGCAATACTACCGCGCATCGATATGTCGATCGGCAGTGCGCACCTGTTTTAGCCCAGAACCAACGTTTCAAGCACGTTAATATTTATTAAAAATAAGAAATTAAAATAAACTTTGAGGAAAAATTGACTTCATTACATTGGTATTGTTGGTCTTTTAAATGACCAAGCTTGATGATTTTCTGAGACACATCCACTGCATTTTGCGTGGTTGGACACTTGTTCGTGGAATGCGCTTCAGAACATTTGTTGCATTTTTTTTGTTTCTGTGCAGTTTTCTGTTGAGTGAGAAAACTTCAAACACTTATTGCAAGGCATTAGGGCTGGGGACAGCGGAGAGCTCGTATTCACAGCATAATGGAGGGATTTGTTATATAATCCTTCAGAGAGAAGTTTTTCGTAAAATTTTAGATTTTTTGTGATAATTCTTATGAAGTTTGTTGGAATGTCTGACTTTTTTTAGATGATTCGTTTATATTAGTGGAATTCCCCTCCAGACGAGGCCATTTTTTGTAAGATTTCTTTGTCCGATAATTCGTTTTCGACAGAGTAGACTTGAGTCGCTGGAGTTTTGTTATCTCTTGAAGCTTGGTTGTAGGGTATTGTTGCGCTATATTCCATAATTTTATTGTTATTTTTTAAGATCTTTAGTGCATTTTCTAATATCGTTTTAGCAGTATTACTTTTTAGCAGATGTTTTTAATATTATATCACTATTATTTGGTCTTGTTTCTTCCCACAAATCAGCCATTTGGATTCTATTACTAATGGTATTATTGGTGTGGTGAGAAATTTATGGATCTCCCTGTATATTTATTTGATGGAATATTATTATTTTGGTTTTGGATTTGCTTTGTTTTTTTTTATAAGAAACTACGGAATATCCTTCTTTATCTTTAACTGGTTTTTTTGGAGGTGCGCTCGATTCATTGTTCTTATCTATTAGCCTTTTTTGGAGATTCCGATAAATTCATCTAGCGATTCTTTATTCAATTGCTGTAAATTCGTTAGCAACTCGTTGTATTTTCTTTTCATTGACGTGGAAATATCTTGATCTACATCCATCAATCCGGAGAATTCTTCCTCATCAGTTGAACTAGACGTGTTTTTTTTTATGGACTTTGGTATTAAACAGTAAACTTATCTCTGCTACTTGTCTCACACAAAAACCGGTGTGGCTTGTTTGAAGGCAACAAGCGTACTGGTCAAACCATTATATCCAAGACAATATTTAGTTGAATAATGTATAAACATATTTAAAAAAATAAAAAATCCAAAATTATTATTTTTTGTTTCAGAAAGTACGTTCCTCGTAAAACTAACCAAAGGTTCCCGGGGCCTAGGTTTGAGCGTCACAGGTGGTATAGACAGCAACGGTTCTTGGCCTGGACTGATCAGAATCAAAAGACTGTTCCCTCACCAACCGGCTTCCTCGTGCGGCCTATTGAATGTCGGAGACCTTCTCCTAGAAGCTAATGGAATTACGCTTACGGGACTCACTAATTATGTAAGTAAAATTTTCAAAGTAAACAATACTCTACTGCATGATGTACCCATCAAAATAGGTCAAAAGTAAAGGCCTTTACCTTGCAAAAACTGTGGTAAAAATGTTATTTAGATCTTGGACATTATTAATATCATCAAACATCAAGATGTCAAACCAGAAGAGACCTCATATGCCAGAGCAAGGTAGGCAGCTAAGGGCTCTCTACCAAAAGTAGAGTCATTAGTTTCAGATGGCGATAATTTTTTTAAAAAGAAAGCAATGGGAATGCATTCGCCTTTAGAATATTGTTCAAGTACAACTTCCACCGCTGTACTGGAACTATCAACAGAAAGACAAAAATTTTCATTTTTGTTGCCTGTTAATGATCCTAAAGCAAGTTTACTTTTATTAAAAGAATTTTTACATTATTCCGTCCACAATAATTGTACTTTATGTTTTTGGCCTTTTTGATGACACGGTTTAAGTAAATTATATAACAATACAAGAAGCTGTGCTGAACTTTTCAATTTTCCTAAATGAATTGATCACTTTAACACGGTCTTCTGAGGGAAGAATTCCATTTTTGTTTATTCTGTGACTCAAAAACGTTAAAGAATTAACACCAAATATACATTTTGTTTTTATTTTCAGGAAGCTCTAGAAGTACTCAGAACGGCTTCTAATCATGTAGACTTAAAAGTATGTAGACCTCCTCCTGACGTTTTAAACTGCGTGAGTCCCATATCAGAAGTTCCTCCACCCCCTCCTAGAAGGGAACCTCCTAACAATTTAAATTTACCTTCGAATGCATACACAACACCTGAAGATGAATATTATCATGGGGTAAGTCCATTGATAGATATAGATTCTCCACCTTATTAAAGTTATTAGCTACCTATTTGTATCGCCCCCTCCTACGTCCCATAATTTTTCACCCTACCTGATGTCCCGATCCTATGATGAATCAGACAGACAATCAATATCAAAAAGAAAGAAAAAACCGGGTTGGTCAAAAGGCAAACCAAGAAGAAAAAAAAGTGTAGAGGGTAACCCAATTCTCAGATTGACTCGTAAGGATGTTCAGCCTCTCTAAAGAGCTAGGGGAGGATTGGCTATCTGTATTCATTCCTGTAAAAGGAATAGAATTAAATACAGAATTACAAGTAAAGGCAGTCCACCTGGACTGCCTCTATCTAGAGACTCAATTGAAACCTACTATATGTAACATCTACTTACCTGATAGAAACTGGCAACCTTAACATATTCAAAATCTTTTCGATCAACTGCCACAACCTCTAATATTTATCGGTGACTTTAACGCGCACTCACCATCTTGGGGATCTATAGTAATGGATACTCGAGGTCGATACATGGAATCTGTAATAGAAAATAATAATATATTAGTTTTAAACAATGCAAGAACCTGCTATACATCGTGTATTGATATCTCCTTATGTTCTTCACATTTGGCCCCTAAGTTAACATTGGATGCCCACACCGACCCCCACTCAAGTGATCATTTCTCTATAGTTATCTATATTGACACCTGCAAGATTATTCAAAATCAAGGGAAAATGACTAACTAAAAAAGCCGATTGGAGAAGATATAGGGAATGTGTCAACATTCCTAACCTCCCAGATAATATAGACGAAGCTGTCAAGATTGTCAGCCGTTTTAGATGCTGCTAAGGAACTCTTTCCTCTGTCGAAGCCAACAGTATCTCATCGTCCAGTACCGTGGTGGAATGAGGATGTTAAAACTGCAATTATTCACCAAAAGATAGCATACCATAAATTCAAGAGATGTCCAACCTAAGAAAACCTAGTTCTATTCAAAAGAGCTAGGGCTCGAGCAAGAAGAGAAATTAATATATCGAAAAAGGCTTCGTGGGAGGAATATATAACAACGATTACTCCTCAGATATTATGGAGGAAAATAAAAGCAATTTCATAAAAAAATACTTTTGACATCCCTCGGGCCATAAAATCTGACGATGACTTAATAATGGAACCTCATCAAATTTGTGAAAAATTTGCAGAAGACTATGAAATCACTAGTAGATCTACTGGCTATGGCGAACATTTCTTAAGGCATAAAGCAGACGAAGAAAGATCAGGTCTCGACTTCAATTCACACCATGATGCCTCTTATATTCAAGCATTAACAATGATGGAACTAAAATATGCCTTACAAGATAGTGAAGAAGCTAGTGCTGGCCATGATAATATCCTTTATAGCATGATAAAAAATTTGGTAAAGGGTGAACAACAAACAATTTTATATTTATTTAACCAAATCTGGAACTCGGAAATATTTCCTAATAACTGGAAGATCTCTAGAATAATACCAATCCTAAAACCAGATAAATGCAATTCAGATCCAAACAATTACCGACCAATATCTTTTACAAGCTGCTTGGGAATTTTTTTTGAAATAATGGTCAATACCAGACTTACTTTGTAGATGGAAGCGAATAACTTGCTGCCTGAAGCTCAAACTGGTTGTCGCAGTGGCTATTCTATGTTAGATGCTCTAACATACATTGAAATTATATCAAAGAGTCATTTTTCAATAGAGAACACCTTATAATAGTCAGCTTTAATTTAGATTAGATTAGGAGTTGGACGTTATTTGTCCTTGTCCACCACGACCTTTTCAGATCTATTGTGGGACTCCGTTTGTTTTAGAGTATGTCGTCTAGTCTGGTCTTCTTTATTAGACTTAGTAGCTTTGACAGTGGCTCCCGCATGTAGTTGCATGCATTTGGCTTTTCTTCGCCTAATGTTAGAAACCTCATTCCAGTCAGGCCTTCACATTGGCACAGGACGTAGAATGATGTTTCCTCTTCTTCAGAAAACCTGCACAAAAGTTGCTTCTTCTGCTGGATTTATGACGCTCATGTGCCCTTAGAGGCGACAGTGTCCAGTAAGAAGGCCTACTGTTATCCTAACGATTTGATGCTTTTGATCCAGTATATCTTTCGTGAACTTGGCCGATGGTTCCTTAATGAACTGTTTGGCCTGTCTCAGTCTTGGATAGTTGTTCCACCATTCCTGAGACTCTTTTTGCATCCATTGTTTCATGGATGCTTTGCACAATACCTTAGCAACTCCACAGAAGGGTTCGGGGCCTATCATGGCCTTATCTGAGCCTTCTCGAGCTTATTCGTCGGCCTTTTAGTTGCCCTGATATCCCTCATGGTCTGGAACCCAGGCTAGGGTCACCTTATTTTGACTACTTAGCTTTGTCAGGTCTTCTAGACAGTCTTTCATCAGTCGTGATTTGATTTCTTGTGAGATAATTGCCTTTAGATCTGCTTGGCTATCAGAATATATGGCAATAGTTTTGCCTGATAGTTGCTGATTTAATATTTATCTTGCATAGTGTTGTATGGCTATTAGCTCAGACTGGAACACTGTTGTATATTTTCCTAAACTCAGCGAAATCGTTGATTTCGAACTGGGTCTATAGATTCCAGCACCGGCTCCTTCCTTGGTTTTTGAACCGTCTGTGTACCAGACGAGTTCAGACTGTACGGGAGGTCCCTGTTTCCAGGATTTTCGGGCTAGTATTTGAATTTGAAAATTTCTTTCAAATTTGTATGTGGTTATGGATCTATCAGTAGGCATAGCTAGAATATTATCCCTTTTTACTTAGACAGGCAAACCGCCGAATGCTAGTGAGTTGGCCTATTGCACTTGAGTGTGTAGTTTTGGTTACCCACGCCACTGCGCCATAGGTTGTCATGGGTCTTATTACCCTTGTGTATAACCATATGGTCATTTTGGGGTTTAGCCCCCAGTTTTTCTTACATATTCTTCTACAGCTTACGAGAGCTATTGTAGCTTTATGTGTGTTTTTTTGAGATGTTGATTCACGTCAGCCTTTGGTCAAATATGACTCCGAGGTATTTGACTTCTGTAATGAATGGGATAACTGTGTTGTTTAGTACTAGTGGTCTTAGACCTGTAAGTACCCGTTTTTTTGTGAATGGTACAACTGTTGTTTTTTGTGCGTTAATGGACAATTGTTCCTTTTTGCACCACTATGTTTAGAGCTGTTTGAGATCGCTCCGAGACTGTGCCTGCAAATCGCCCCTGGCGATAATTGCTAGGTCGTCTGCAATATCAGAACTGTCTAATTTGTTCTGATTCGCTTAGTTCTATTACGTCAATGGAAAATATATTCACAAAAGATATTCTTTGTCATCTAATATTAGAATTAAACACTTATCTTACCTCACCTTATGTTGTCTATGTGATTACCTAGAATTGATGGATGTCCCCAATTATTTATTTGAAATAATTCAACTTTTCTAGCAAATTAAAATAAATCCAATATAGTTATAAATAGTAGTTTTTATACAAAAAGAAAGTCCCTAGTTCTTACTCAAGTTGAGCCGTATTTAACATACTTTCTTTTCTGTAGGAATTTGAAATTACGCTTAAAAAAATTCAAGGATCTCTAGGTTTTACCCTTCGCAAAGAAGACGATAGCGCACTGGGTCATTACGTAAGAGCGCTAGTAAGAGAACCTGCTCTTAGTGATGGAAGAATTAGAGCTGGAGACAAAATAATAGCAGTAAGTTAATTTGTATTTTTATTAATAAGACAATTATCTTATTTGAATTATTCCCACAGGTCAATGACGTAGAAATATGTCCAATGTCCCATGAACAGGCTGTTCAGTTTTTACGTCAGTGTCCGGAAATTGTTAAGTTACGATTGTACAGAGATTCTGCTCAAACTCCTGTAGCTACACTATCTCCATCGGAAACTACTCCTAGAACTTCGTTTTCTCGAAAAGCCAATTTAAGGTGAGTAGGAGAAAGCACCCAATAATGACCACCCTTTTTTGTTTTTCAGATAATTTAAATTACATAACATTTTTAAGTTACATACTTTGTCATGCCATAAAAAGAAATATTGTATAGTTCGACATCTATTTAACTTTTTACAAAAGATGTTAAGGTGGCCACAGTTGCGTCTAGATGCGTACAGTGGTCACCACGGGTTCTTACAATGGCCATGAACTAAGAATGTCACGATTTTGTATAGGATGGTGAATTCAGAATAGGATTTGCTCGGGCGCCAGTTTTAATCAGAGTTAATATTTTAGACAAGAGGCTGTAGATATGCTGAACGACCTGGCAGGACGAAAACTAGTCGGAATGAATCCAGAAGTATACAATCGTTCTCTATCTCCAACGTCATCGTCACCGCGGCGTTTACGCCGCCAACCTGGTTCTTCTGATGCTTTGCAAGGTGATTGTATGAGTCAAGGCGAATATCTATCTCAAGGAGATTTGCTGCCTCCAACAGAATACTTGATACAAGGTTAGTAGTATTTTTTGATATTATATTCAAGAGATATGGGTCATTTTCATTAATTTCTAATTTTTACCTACCAGTACTTTAAAAAAATTAATAAAAATATTTAGGTGTCCTGTATTTTTTCCTAAATAACTATATCTGTGCAAAATAAGGTTTTAACCTTGAAAGTCGAAAGTCAAACACCACCACGGACCTAATTTTTCTTTTACTAACATCCCTTCGTCCGAAAAGTCATCACTTAAGTCGTCACTTTCCAGGATTACTGAAAAGTCAGATTCCGATGAAGAACTTTGCAGAAGTACCTTTCTGACCGTCTTTATTCCTCCCTTAGCTTGTCTTTTTTTATTTCTACTCTACATACTACATAAACAACTGCACGCTCCCGACTGACTGGTCAAATGAAAGCTAACAACAACATATATGGCTTCAAATGCCCCCTTGCGTTCATTTTTAAAACTGATACGTTCGCCATTATGACGAATGATTCACTGTGTACCGTGGTTCACTGTTGGACAGTTTACCTTAGTTGGTCCATCATTCATAAAATGGAAATTGTCAATCCTGGGATGATATCTTTAAATATCTCTTATGATGGGTAATATATTAGTCCAAACAGCACTGGGATCATGACGAAGACACATAGAAACCGTGCAGAAAGTCTGACATTTAGTTTCTTCGCCCTCTTTGTAGTAATACGCTCCAGTGTGGAAACTTAGTTGAACTTTTCACGCTCCAAAGTGTACGCTTTGTATACTTAAGTGAGTAATTTTCGGAAAAATCTATTACCAAACAAACTTCGTTTTAGGCCAAATTATGTTTGAGGTTTTTCAAAAATTGTCCCAAAAACTATATGAGTGTTGAAACATTTTATAAGTTTCATCTTTCATCTTGATAACCAAAATTTCTGCAGTAGTTCTTAGTCTTTCTTTCTTCATAACTGTAACTTTCTTTTCAGTACCTTTAATAGTTCGAGTTTCTGTGGTATTAGACCAGTGGTCGCCAACCTGTCGATCGCGAGCTACCGGTAGCTCGCGGAGTCAATTCTGGTAGCTCTCACAACGATTTTAATTTAAAAAAATACAAGCTGCAAAAATCAGAGACGCTTCCAAAAATTCCACAAAAAAATCTAATTGTCATAATATTAAACATAAACAGCGGCAACGTTGCGGTGAGCGATCTGCCGCTGACGCCATTAAGCTAGAATCGGCTAGAACCGACCAGCCGGACCAGCGCGTTAGTGTTCGAGAACGATCAGGATTGCTTTGAACGGGATAAATACGCACGGCGCGGCGACATTGCGCTTAGTTTAAAATTAAACGCGTAACCAACGTCCAGCGGTTGGGTTAGTAGAGAACAACAAAAAATAATATTATGGCAAGCAGTTGTAAGAAGGTAAAGACATACCACTTTCATTCGGAATGGGAAGAATAATACTTTTTTACAGAAGTTAGAGATAAAAATGTGTGTTTGTTATGTAATACTTCGGTCTCCGTTGCTAAAAAAGGAAATATTGAGAGACATCATAAAACTGTACATTCTAATTTTGAAAAATCATTCCCACTACATTCTGCCGCCAGAAAGGAGAAACTGAAACAGTTAAAAAAGCAGTTAATTGGACAACAATCAATATTTTTAAGAACAGTCGACAAAAATAAGGCTGCAACTGAAGCATCGTACCGTGTGTCCCAGATAATTGCATAAAAAAAGAAACCTTATGAAGACGGGGAAATGATAAAACAGGCGTTTTTAGAAGCTGCTGATTCGTTATTTGCCAACTTGAGAAATAAAAACGAGATAGTTTCAGCTATAAAATCTATGCAACTTTCTGCTGATACAGTGATGAGACGTGTAGAAGTAATGAGCAATGATATTTTTTTACAGTTAAGAACTGACTTAGATAACTGTGTTTATTTTTCACTTCAACTGGATGAATCAACAGATGTCGTTGACACTGCCCAGATGGCTGTGTTCGTCAGGATGGTTTTTAGTGATTTTACGATTAAAGAAGATCTTTTGAAGTTTATTCCACTTAAAGGACACACTACTGGACAGGAGTTGTTTTCTCATTTAAAAAATATTATTTCTTCCGAGAAAATTCCAATATCGAAAATGGTAGGCTTGACAACAGATGGCGCTCCAGCTATGGTGGGTTGTGATAAGGGTCTGCTGGCGTTATGTCGTAACGATGAAACTTTTCCGCAATTTCTCTGTTACCACTGCATTATCCATCAGCAAGCATTATGTGGAAATTTCCTAAAACTAAACAACGTTATGAAACTGGTGGTAAAAATTGTGAACAAGATTAGAGCTCAAGCGTTACGAAGAAGATTATTCAAAACCTTGGCCGATGAAGTTGACTGTCAATACGGGGACCTACTCCTTCACTCTGAAGTCCGATGATTAAGTAGAGGACGGGTGCTGAAACGTTTTAATGATGTCCTATCTGGCATAGTTCAATTTTTCAAACAACGCGATGAACCGACTCCGGAACTAGAAAATTCAATCTGGCTTAGAGATTTTGGTTTTCTCGTGGACATTACAGAGAAATTAAACGAACTTAATTTGCAGCTTCAGGGGAGAGACAAAGAACTAGCGGAAATGATTTCTGATATAAAAGCATTTATCAAAAAGCTGGAGTTTTGGGAACAAAACCTAATTGACAGCGATGCCAAGCATTTTCCTATTCTTTCAGAAAAAATATCTCAAAATCCATTGGAACCCTATGACAGCAAATATCATGTAGAAATAGTTTCTACCCTGAAGAATAACTTCAAAAATCATTTTAAGGATTTCAACGAAATGGCTTTAGTAGCACAGTTTGTTGTTTCACCCTTTATGGAAATTGATATCCAACAGTTTGCACTTGTGTTATGCAGAACTTTGGCGAAGACATCGCTGCAACAGAAATGGAAGTAATTGAGTTTCAAAATGATTTAGCCTTAAAATCTTTAGTCTCTAGTACCAAATGTATCTGGCCTATTGTAAGTAAAGACAAATATTCAATTTTATGCCGTGTTGCCTTGAAAGTGAAAGCATTATTCAGCTCAACCTATTTGTGTGAATCTTCTTTTTCCAATATGAAGTTTATTAAGAACAAATATCGCAATCGACCTACAGATGAACATTTGGATAATTGTATTCGAATGACTGTATCAAATTATACTGCAAACATTAAAAAAAATTATCGACGAGTCTGAGTGTCAGCCTTCTCATTCAACGTGCTTTTTTATTTTTCAATGTTTATGTTCATGATAGTGCGTTACTTTTTTGTTGTTATTATTAACTATTTTTAAATCTTACGTGACATGCCGTTGTGGCTGGATAAAAGTTTGTGTTTATTTTTCAAACACCTTTGTTTGGTAAGTAGGAATGTAGCTATGAACAAGTACGTACTAGTAATATTAGTTATTTTGTTATTAGTTTATTATTAGTACCTATGTATTATGTATTACCAGTTAAATAGTAAAATAAATACATATAATAATAAATTAACTGTGGATTATTTCATTTACGTTGCGTTACGTGGCTTCCGTGTGGGTAGCTCGCTGTTTATTCCAAAATTAACAAAGTAGCTCAACACATTGAGAGGTTGGTGACCACTTTTTTAGACTATTGAAAATAGTGTAGAGTTGAACTGGGACTTACATGTTCTCCATACATGCAGGCACGTGCAATATTAGAGCAACAAAGTTGCTCTGAGAATTTTTGCAGAGACCTTGCATTATTAATAATTCGGTACTGAGTTAAAAAACGTAGTAGGAACCCAAAGTTTGCATGCTTAATGTAGAGACACGTGTCCCTGCTTGTTAAACTGGGAAATGTAACCCAAAATCGTCTCAACCTTGTAAAAATTGTGTATGAAATCTTAACATTATAGTTTTCTTGCTTAAACTTTTTATACATATTTAGAAGACTGTCTGTTAAATATCTTCTTTGCTTAACTGTGCCATCTTTAGTAGCTTTATCTTTTTTGCTTAACTGTGCCATCTGTAGTAGTTTTATCTTTTTTGCCTGGAGCACAATTAGAGTTTGAATCATTCTCGAGAAATGCACGGACCCGTTCTTTTAATTTCATTGTAAGAGAAGTTTTCTTTGGTAGTACTTAGTGGCCAATCTTTTAGTGGCCTCTACCAGTTTGTATTTGAAGAAAAAATTTCCTTTTGTTGTGTGGTTGTACAATCTTTTTTGTTTTGCTCGATCTGTTCAGTCAGTACCTCTCCTATAAGTAGTTTTCTTTTAATGTCCTGCGTACTTCCCCTCTGCATAATCTCTTCCACTCGTTTTGTAGGAGTAGGGTTCAGTATTTTTGTTCTTGTTTTTTAACCTAAAATACTTTAGTTTCCATTTCCTTGCCGAAGTCGTTCATTCTGTTCTTTTATTAGCCACGTTTCTTTTTATAATAATACACATTTTTCTCTTTCGTCTTTTTTCACGCTTAGAAATGGTTTAATTATACCCTGTTCTTTATTTTTGTAATATCTTTCACGATCTTTTTTTTATTCTTTAGTTCATATGTTTCGGGATTCATCTAAATATGTTTCATTGTAGAAAAATATTCTAATTTAATTTTTCTTCAGGTGACCAACCGTCCCAATCCGGTGAGTACGCAGACTACCAAGAACAGTTCCATGAGGGCATCATTCAAAAATTTCCTAGACCTTTCGACGAGGACGCATTTAATTCGTTGTTCTCTATGGAATCAGAAGACGGTGATAAACCAAACCGACCTAGTTCGTTAGAACTGTATAATCCAAATCAAACACCTGTCGCTTCCAGGAAACCTAGGTTTAATTTTTCGTTGGCTCATAATGCTTACGAACTTAACAATCTGGATGCTGAAGTATTGGATGCTCCTAATTTAAAATATAATTTATGTAAGTAATGAAAATATAATTTGAAATTAAAATTTTTTGTCTCTAAGTCTTGTCACACACTAAAGAAGGATCAACCATTACACACGCAATATTCTAGATCCTCAAAGTAGTAGCTAGATCAGGTTACTAACCTAAAAAGCAAACAGGACCACGTGAAGTTGCAGCGAGAATTCTCCCAGCGAATGGCCTTGAGTATTTCAGATGAAAATGTAAAACAATAAATTGATGAAAGAATTTTTTAATTAGTTTTCCAAAAATTAATATCTGCAAGATAAAATTGAATATTAATATTCATAAAAAATATTATATTAATAATAAATTATGTTGTGTTTAATATTACAGGCAACGAAGACGTTAAAACATCCGATTCCGAGGTCCAAGAACCCGTTAGTATGCCACATATATCCACTAATTCTTCCTCAAACTTCAGCCATAAACATCCTGCTTATCAATCGGCTCATCCTCAGATACATGCAGATCATGAACAACTTCAACATGTAAATTCCACAGGAAAATCAGATGGTAACACATTGAGGAAAACGAAGAAATCAGTCCCAGTGGAAAATGAGATCGTCAAGCCTAACCCTATTGTTCAGCGAGTGCCCATAAAGGAAGAATATGAGGTAAGTTAATTCCTGAATTAATAATCTAACTTTATATCGAACCAGGGAGGTGGAAAGGGGAGGAGATGTCATCCAAATGGTACTCCAAGGTTGAACTTTGAAAATTTATAAGCCCATCAATTGGATAATAAAAAATTTTAAATTAACGAGCACATTAATTTTAATAAAAAAAATTGCAACGGATTTTTCAAAAATGATAAAAAAAAGTCACTTGATTTTTTTGCAAACAAAAATTCCAAAGTTACACATTAAGGTGTAGTCACCACGTGGTAATGGGTATACATAAAATTTCAAACGTACCAAATGACGCCGCTACGTTTTTGAAATTATCAATTTGCCTTCGGAAGACTTCCGCAACTATTTTAGTTGACAACGGTGGGAAAATTACCGCATTAAAACGACACGGTGGATGGACATCTACCAGTGTTGCTGAAAATTACATAGATGATTCTATTTCCGGTAAGAAACAAACGGTACAAAAAATACTTCACTAGTAAGATCAACCAAGTACAAGTTCTGAAATTCAAAGAGAAATACATTCAGAAAATCTTTCAAATGAAAATATCTCTAACATAATAAATGTCTACAGACACCTTACTAATCAAAACATGTATACCAATTAATATTACTATTAATAAATAGGAATAGGTAATAGTTATTTAAGACATATCTGTTCTTTTTAATTTTTTTTTTAATTGTGTTACTAAATAGTTACTAATTCTAGTGGCAATTCTCTGTTTATGTACCCCATTAAAAACAACGAATTAATAAAGCATATATCACTATTAAAAAATAAATCGGCAAGTGGCCTGGATGGACTATCGGTAACTACAATTAAAAATATACACCCTTACATCCTAAACCCGTTAGCACACATTTTTCAACCAAATATTAACCACTGGCAAAATACCAATATCATTTAAATAATCTGTAATAACACCCGTCTATAAATCAGGAAAAAAAGAACTAGCCACTAACTACAGGCCTATATCAGTCATAAATAATATTTCAAAGCTTTTTGAGCAATGTTTAAAAAAAAGGTTAGTTGAATTTATTGAACAAAACAAAATATTAAGTACAAGTCAATATGGTTTTAGGAAAAATCTTTGCTGTCAAGATGCGCTTCTAGACTTTGTGCAAAATATTATTAATGGTATTGACAACAATAAAAAATGCCTAGCGACATTCTTAGACTTAGCCAAGGCATTTGACATTGTTGATCACAGATTGTTGTTGGAAAGATTACTACTTATTTATAATGCCTTGGCTGAGTCGCTGCTAAGATATGGCATTCTAATATGGGGTGGGCTTCTAGACAACGCTCTCGATGGGCTGGACTCGACACAGAATACGTTGTTAAAAATATTGTTCAGAAAGGACCTTAGATATCCAACAAACCTATTATATAAAGAATTAGACATTTTCAATATTAAACAACTATATATTTACCAAACATCTTTATGGGCAATTTCTAATACTGAAAAACTTCCTAAGCTTTTACACACTACTTCCACAAGAGCTCTACTAAATAAGCATATGCCAATTCCTCTTTTTAAAAAAATGCACACCCAAAACTTTATCTCGTATTTTGGCCCCAAAATATATAACCTAATTCCTACATACATAAAAAATATTACAAATGAACGATCTTTAAAAAATGAACTTAAAATATTTGTACAGAAAAACTACAGTAAAATTAAGAAGGAAATATTTAATGTTTTATATTAATTTCATGCTACATAATTACATATTCTTCAGTATCAGAGAGTAGCCTTTCTTTTCTTTTTCTTTATTAGTCTTGTATTTTATATTTTTATAATTTATAATTTTTATTATTTTTGCTATTTTTATAATTTCTGCTAATTTTTATTTGTATAATTGTTTTGATTTTTGTATTTCCATATTTCTCTATCTTTTTCTTTTTTTTTGTTGTATTTTAAAATTCTAAATTCTTTGTTTTTGTTTCTATAGTATTTGTTTGTTATGTTGATAATGGGGTGTTACTTCTATAGTATATACTTAGATACAATTTAAACAGCATTTATAAAACGTAAAAAAAACTAATATAAAGATTCCGCACAAAAACTTTGTTTAGGCGGGTCTTAAAAAATTGTTAAAAAAATGTAAATTATTTTAATGAATAAATTTGATTTGATTTGATCTCCTTGATGTTCTCTAATAATCGGTATCTCGTCACCTCTTTTTAAATTAGTTGGTGATGTATTAACCACAGGGATAATATACGAATCAATTGTCTGGTCTTTCTTCATGTTGTCAAAATGGACGAACTTTACTTTGTTTTGGCACTAAACTAGGTAGGTACATCTACTTAAAGCCTTTAAAACTTTAGTCTTCATCCATCTCTTTTCCTTTGCTACATATAACATAACTAGTTGTCCCTCTATAAAATAAGGTATTGCTCTTCTGTGCTTATTTTCCTTTTCAAATATATATCAGCACTACGGGCCTAGAAGGCCCATGGCTTCGTAGCCAATTTTCCTCCATTTTTTTTTGTTTCCTGTTCTTCTTTGCCAATACCTTATCCCCATCTCGTTTAGGTATCTTTCTACCATCTGTAACCATTTAGTGGTCGTCCCCTTCTTCTCCTCCTCCCGGTTATTCCGCCTGTTATTACTTGGTCTTTCATCTGCTAGTCTCGCTACATGTCCTAACCACCTAATTACATTTGTTATAGAGGGTTCTCCATATAATTCATTTATTTCAACGTTTGTTCTTCTTTGCCATACATTATTTACTTTCTTTCCGCCATATATCTTTCTAAGTACTTTTCGCTCGAATATTTCCAATAAGTTTTTTTCTTTTTTGTTTAATTTCCATACCTCGCTTCCATAAGTGACTACTGGCCTGATTATCGTTATATAGATTCTCTTCGTTAGGTTTTTTAACAAATTCTTGGATCTAAGGAGATAAGGCATTCCTCCTGTACATTTTATTCCTTTGGCTATTCGTTCTTCTATTTCTTTTGTCTCTTCGTCATTATCACTTATTGTGACTCCTAAATAGCTAAATTTGGTCACTTTCTCAAACTTGTACTTTGATCCTTCAGTGTCTATTCTTAATTATCTATTCTGTATATTTCTTGGCATTTTTTCTACTAACATAAATTTTGTTTTTACTTCATTGATTATTAATCCATTTCTTTTGCAGCTTTTTCTAACTTCTTTGTTGTTATTTCTAAATTTTCTCTTGCTCTTGCTAGGATTACCAAATCATCTGCGTAGGCCATCAATTGACTTTTCTGATTATATATAGTACCTTTTATTTAAATTCCACTTTGTCTTACTGCAGAGTCTAAAATTATGTAAACTTCCATATTAAACTGAATCTTTTCTATAAAAACATTTATAAAAGCAGGTACCGACCTTACAGACTTAATATTAGAAATTGCTCCTACTTCTACCTTTTCTAGACTTGACGTATCTCTAACTGGACTACAAACATTCTCTTCTACCTTTTCTTTGAGTGAACTATTATATTCTTCTTTGACTGGACTATTATGTTCTTCTTGAACTAGATTATATTAGGAGTTGGACGTTATTTTTTCTTGTCCACCACGACCTTTTCAGATCTATTTTAGGACTCCGTTTATTATAGAGTATGTCGTCTAGCTTGGTCTTTTTTATTATACTTAGTAGCTTTGGCAGTGGTTTTCGCATGTAGTTGCATGCATTTGGCTTTTCTTCGCCCAATGTTAGAAAACTCATTCCAGCCAGGCCTTCACATTGGCACAGAACCTGCACAAAGTTGCTTCTTCTGCTGGATTGATGACACTCATGTGCCTTTTGAGGCGACAGTGTCCAGTAAGAAGGCCTACTGTTATCCTAACGGTTTGACGCTTTTGATCCAATAGGTATTTCATGAACTTGGCCGATGGTTCCTTGATGAACTGTTTGGCCTATCTCAGATCTGGGGTAGTTGTTTTACCATTCCTGAGATTCTTTTTGCATCCATTGTTTAATGGATGTTTTGCACAATGCCTTAGCAACTCCACAGAAGGGTTCGAAGCCGGTCATGGCCTTATCTGAGCCTTCTCGGGCTAATTCGTCGGCCTTTTCGTTGCGCTGATATCCCTCATGGTCTGGAACCCAGGCTAGGGTCACCTTATTTTGACTACTTAGCTCTTCCATGTCTTCTAGACAGTCTTTAACCAGTCATGATTTGATTTTTGGTAAGAGAATTGCCTTTAGAGCTACTTGGGTATCAGAGTTAATGGCAATAGTTTTGCCCGATACTTGATGATTTAATATTTCTCTTTAACTAAGCTATTAAGTTCTTCTTCAACTGGACTATTAGGTTTCTTTGACTGGATTATTATGTTTTTTGATTGGATTATTATGTTCTTCTTTGACTGGACTAGTTTTATTTAGTTGACTTACTGACATATTACTTTGTATAATTACTACTTGTTTTATAGTTATTTCATTGTTTTCTTCATCTTCTTCACTATCTTGTTCTTAAGTATCTGACTTTATTTTATTTTTATTAAATCGACAAACTTTTGACGTATGGCTTCTTTTTTTACAGATAAAACATTCTCAATTAACGGCTGAACAGGTTTTAGACAACTTGTGGTATCTTCCACATCTAGTACATCTATTACGAGGCCTTCTTAGACTTCTGACTATTAGTATTTTGACTATTCTGACTTGTTCTGTACCTTTGCGATTCTTGACTATTATTTTATTTATATTCTCTTGATTAATCGGTCTAGCTTGACCTTCAGTAAGTTCTACTCCTAGTGCAGTTTTACAGGCATCTGCATAGGTTAAGTTTTCTGTGTCTAATAACTTTAATTTAATTTTTTCAGATTAAAGTCCACAAACTTATCTATTAGAGCTTCATCTAAAAATTGTTATACTTTCATTGGTTTCTTGACGACAATTGTAAAATTTGTAGCGTTCTGCTATCACTAACCTCTTCGGAATAAAATGACTAATTAACATATTTTTCAATTGTACATGTGTTCGACTGCTGGGTAGGTTAGGGGACAGTAGGTCTTTAAGTACGCCGAACGCCTCACCTCCTGTTAGAGTAAGAAAAGTGGGCACTTTTTTATCATCCTGGACTTCATTACAGAGGAATAATTATTCCATTCGTTCTATATATGTAGTAACTTTCTGTTTCTATAGGTTCCAACTGTTTTATTGAGTTTATAAACGGCATATTTCTAACTGCCAATGACAAGGACTTAATTGACAAAGTTTTAATCGAGTGGACTTCTTTATTGCATATTTTTAACTAGTTTCTCGTCACCAAATTGTTGTATATTTGCTTTCGGAACTGGTACTAAAACACCTTTGCAAGCACGATCACTTTGTTAAGGATTTTACCAAATACAAACTTTATTATATTAAATGTGTTTTGCTCAGATTACACTGAGCTCAACGCTTTCTGCTCCTAGTAATTTAATATACTATTAAATAAAATAACAAAACGTGGTTGCTTTGACTGAACTATTTCAATTTTTAAAAAATAAAATAACAATGTTTCATATTAATCCTGTTTTTCTTACAGGTCCTTGCAATTGAACTGAATAGAGGTTGGAATAGCAGGCTGGGATTTAGTTTACAGGGAGCAGCAGGAGTTACGTATGTGAGCGCTGTACACGCCGATAGTGTAGCAGCTAGAGATGGAAGGTTGAAACCTGGTGATCGACTCATCAAGGTTTGTACTTATTTAATTAGCACATTTTTATTTACCTTTTCTTAGAGATTTCATATGTAGAATCAGAAACTTCATCCTTTCTGGTGTTGTGAATATTAATCTCCTGTGACAGTGTTTCCAAGGTCGAGCTAGAATATTAAAAAAACCAATAGTTATTTTCTTCAATATTCTCGATATCTTTGTTTAAATACCTTTCGTTGTTAACGAGTTTCAATTATTGATGAACACGCGAGGAATTTTCCATAATCTTCGTCATTATTAAAACGCTACAATAAACGTAAATATTTAGAGTAAGGGCTAGCTAAAAAAGCAAGCTAAATGTACTCACGTTTCGCGGGTTTTCACGCAGGTTCGCATGTGGTGGTTCTCTGCACATTTCAAGCATTTCGGAGGGTGTCCGCAGTTTGCCGTGGCATGGCAATTATTGCACTGTATTATGCTTTTGGTAGATTTCCTTAGCTCCCAAACAATTCGGGTGTTTTCTACCACCCTGATGTGCTTATTAAGGAAGTCCAGGGTGATTGACGGGTCTGTTATTATATGGAATAGGGGTCTATTTTTCGTTGACATTTTGTAGATTTATCTTGTCTTAATGTCATAGGAATGCATGAGATCTTCCTCAATTTATTCGGTGGTGATTCCCGTTGTTAATCCCCTTAGCACGAATGCATGGGATTTCTCATTTCTCCTAGTATAAGTGTGGTAGGAGATTTTGGATTCTTTTACACTGCTTATTAAATCTCTGTAATCGTTTTGTTTCTCGACGTATATTATCGTGGAGTTGTTTGTATATTTTAGGGTGTTTCTACCCTTTACAATATTCTGGAGATAATTTTTTAGTGAATTGTGATTGTCAGTCCTGCCTTCAATGACAATCGATTGCATGGAAGTCTTTCTTGTAAGATCTTTGTTTGCTTCACTTGTACCTGGCTTGGTATTTTTGGTTAACACCTTAGGTTTAGGTTTTCTGAAAGTTGGGGGTAGTTTTTGGGAGTCGGCATTTTCCTCCTCGAAGTCAGAATCGGATAGTGGCTGGTATTTGTTTTGTACCTTTATTGATCGTGCTGCTTTTTCTTTCAGAATATTGTGAAAGTTCGTAGAAAATTTTTTTGGGGTGATAAACGCCCCTTCTCCGTTGTTAACATCCATATTTTCTGTTGTGTCTGTGTTTTGAGTTGTAGTTGGCCTCTCTAGGGTTCTCTTCCACTTCGATTGCGGTTCCAAAATCGATTTTATCACTTTCGGTATCGCGCCGGTGGATTCGGTTGGCTTTTATCCTGTGAAAGCACGCACTTCACTCGTTTTAGGCTGTTCACCGCGGTATGTAAATTTGTTTTGCTCGTCTTCGCTCGACGATGTCACCTGTAGTCCCGTACCGAAATTGAGTACTCTCGTGGTCACCGATTTCGGTATCGGTAGTGTTTTATATTCGGATTCGAAGACTTGCGACGCGCCGGTTGTTCAGAGGTTTTGTTTCGATTTTTGTGTTTCTCCATACTTTTTCGCACCATTTCACTTAATGTTTCCTCCGCTTTTTCGGCACACTCGATTATAAGGTCGTCTATCGTCTTTTAGACGCACTTGGCGATCGCGTTAGCGTCTAATTTGTTTGTTAAGTCCGTTTCCGCGGTATTCACAATCGTATTGTTAAGAGGAGAATTCTCCGCACTTTCGAAATTGCCGTCCGGTGAGTCGTCCGAGCTCTTTGGTGTAGCGTTGTCTTCGGTCGGTCCGTTTATTTGTGACTGCGAAAGTATGTAGAATAATGGTGTATCGTTCTCACTGTTCTCCATACTTTTTTGACTTTTCTCTATACTTTCGCGTGAGATATGTTTTGCGAGATAGCTTCGGATGCTAGTCACTGTTGGGACTTTTATATGTTTCGACTTTCTGTCAATGCTAAGATCTTTTGAAATTTTCTCCATACTTTTTTTTGGTGGATTCACTTCTGGAGCTTGATCTGGATGATTTATCTGATACATATTTCGGATTAGGAGTACTCATATGTTTGTACGGATGATTCCTTCTATGACTGAGACTTCTAGGGTGGTTCTCGGGGGATGTTTGGTTAATATTTAATGTATTTTTTTCGATCCTATCTTTGTTTCTCCTGGAGAATTGGGTGTCTATGAACTCAGCATTTTTGGCTGGTAGGGTGGTTTTGGCTACCCTTTCGGGTTCCGCCATAGACGGTTGTGATTCACTATCGAACAGGTGGGTCTACTTTACCTGGCACGACGCGAAATAACAATAATGAATGAAAATTTTAGGTTAGAAACCTGGTGGCCGAAAATAGCAGAATTATAGTAACGATCCTCTGATAGAGTACATTTTACTTCTTTTCTAGTAGGTGGGAACTTAATTTTAATAAAATGCACACGTTCATAAAAATATTGTCAGTTGTCAGTTCTAATCTAAGTCACACGTCGACGTCAAAAAACTAGCAACTTCAGTAATTTAAATGGACCACCGAACAAATTTTCCTATTAAGTTGCACGTCTCTGTTGTCTCTGATAATATGCGTTGATTTTTAATAAAAACTAATACTCTTTTTTTATATTGTTCTCTTTTTCTTTAGGTGAATGACGAAAGTATAGAACACATGACAACTAGTGAAATAATCGATTTGCTGCGAATAGTTCGAGGTCCTGTTTGTATAGTTATCTCAAGAGTCAAACGTAACGAAGACTGTCCAAAAAGCAATGCTGAGAATTGAGCAACCGTAGCAGTACAAGCGTTTATAATTGAATTTATAATTTTCATTGTTTTTAGCTTTCTTAATGTCAATGTTTTTAATTGAACATTTATTGTTTACTTGTTTTAATTAACTTAAAATTTCCACCATATTGGTGTATTTGTTTGCTTTTATTTGAAAGTTTCAATTAAATTTATTGACTGTTTTTTAATAATACTTTAATATTTGTGATAGTTTCTATAAACGGGGGATACAAAAAATGCCAATAACACTGGTCTACACTAGTTTTGTTGCTCTAGATATAAGATCGATTTTGAATACATTTATGCTTACAATTTATGAAACTATCAATGATTTCGTAAGAATTGCTCTCGTTTTCTTTTAAATCTTTATTTTCTTTTTATATTACAAAAATTGGAAAACAAGAAACAATAACAGATATATTTATAATGTCAGTTTTGTTTTGAAAAATTAGTTGTTATCACAACATTTGAGTGATAAATAGTATCTGGATAAAATTTTTCGATAACAGAAGGTTTTATTATTGATACTGAACTACCTGTATCTATCAGTAATTTTAATGTAAGTGTAAAATTTCTATATACGGTAAAAGGTTTTTGTTGGTGAGATTTCAGCTGTTCTGTGAAGCAAGGGGTTTGAGAGTGGGGATCACATGATGTTTGTATGCGCGAAAAAGTTGCGTAGAAGCTTAATCTTGGCTGGGAAAATAAATTTTATTAATAATTGTTCAAAATATTAAATATGTGAAATTCATATAGAAAAAGAGCACATTTAGTACTTTCATGAATATATTCGTAATTTGGACACTTGAAAACATAAAAATTTGCAAATATATCCAGGGCAACAAATTTTTTTTTGTAGATCTGTGTAATCTAACTGATTTATTTAATTTCAGTTCGTCACTGTCTAAAATCATTTTTAGAATCCCTCTTTGTAAGATTTTACGTTTCCTATATCGAATGTGATTAATTGAAAATATTCTAAGAATCTATTTTGTTTATATTGAGCTCGAATTTTTAGATTATATATATTTTTGTGTTTTTCTTTTTTGTAGGATATCGTTAAGCTAGTCTTTCACATAGAGTGAATTCCAGTCAAGAGATATATTTATTCAAAATAAAAAATAACAAAAAAAAAATAGAACACCATCTATGCTAAATTTCTGTAATCACTACATTGTCTCGCCATCTATTGGTAAGATCTGTAACATATCTCATTTACTATTTAATATAAAAATGTAAATGGCAGCACTAGTAACTCTGTATTCACGACAAGCTTTATAGCTTATTTAAATTACTCCCTCTCTCTCTCTCTGGAACTCGATCTAAAATATTAAATTTAGCAAAAGACTTCTACATAAGTCTAAAATGTATTACACTGTTATGTTAAAATAAAGTAACTCGGAAACGGTGGTTTCAAATCTACGAATTTTGTCAACACAATAAAAAGTATGGCCTAACACCATTAAAGTAATAAGTATTGATTTTAACGTACATACTTTGATTACTATACGGTGCAAGAGAGACGTCCGATAGTCCAATATAGAGCGCGGCCATTTTGATGCAATTACTACTAGGTTAGGCAACATATTTTTCCAAAATGTTAAACTGGTAGTCTACATCTTGGTATTTTAAGATTTTAAATGAAGGTGGTACCAAGTATAGAAGAAACGTTTATTTATTTTAAATAATATACAAGAAACTTCTTTAAAGCAAGTGCATTCTAAAATAGAGGTGAGCAGGGCCGGATTTACCATAACAGCGCCCCTAGGCCCGAATAAATTTGGCGCCCCCCCCCCCCCCCCCCCATCATACACTGATAGAAGGAACATGATAGTTAATAAATATCTCATTTTGCACCATGTTCAAATGAATACTTGTTAACAGCGAACTAATCATTTATTTAAAGATAATTCTTTGATTATTTTTAATATTAAATATTAATTACCTTTTTTTAATTTTGTTTTTGTGTTAGCACTACAGGTTTCGCCCCTTGGTGTTAACACAAAACAGAATTAGAAAAGGTAAATAATATTTAATATTACAAGAAACCTCAATCGAATTCAGGGCCAACCAAATGAAAATAATAATTCTTTGAGCCAAGTGAACAATCAGTTTTATGTAGAAATAAAAACTACAACTATGTAATACATACGAGGTAAACGCCAATAATTCCCGGCCTGACAATGAAGAAGGCAAATCACAATAACAAGTTGTTATTATTTTTCAATGTAATCTCCTTTAACCTCAATGCACTTCTTACAACGTTTAATTAACAATTCAATACCTTTAAAAAAATATTCTTTCGGTTTATCCTCAAAATGGGCCAAAACAGCTTCTTGTAACTCAAAATCGTCCCGAAAACGTCGCCCGCGAATGTCTTTTTTCAAATAACTAAACAATAATCGCTGGGAGCCATATCTGGACTATAGGGAGGGTGATCTATATTTTGAAACCCGCAATCTAGGATGGCAGCTTGTGTAACGCCAGCAGTATGAACGGGCGCATTGTCGTGCAACAACCGCACGCCTCTGGTTAATTTTCCTCGACGTTTTTCCCGAATACATTCCCGCACTTATGAAATAATGCGGCATAATATATGCCATTAACGGTGGTATTTGTCTCTTTAAAATCAATCAGAAGGATTCCTTCACAATCCCAAAAGATCGTAGCCATCACCTTTTTCGTGGCAGACTCTAAATTTTCGTGGGGGGCTTCACTCTTACGGCGCCACTCCATTGATTCCCTTTACGACAGAGGATCATAATAAAGAACCATAGTTTCATCTCCAGTGACTATTGTTTCCAACACGGGGTTCGGATCAACTCCACACAGTTCCAAAAACGATCGAGCACACTCGACACGACGTTGCTTCTGAATCGCCGAAAGGTGTTTGGGAACTCATCTTGCACTAACCTTATGTATACCCAAATGATCATGGAGGATTCGGCGAACAGTGGTATCAGAAAGCTTGGTCATTTCTGCCATTTCCTTGACCTTCACATGTCGGTTACTTAAGCACCAGGTTTTCCACAAGGGTCACTTTGTCCTCTGTTATCACCTCCACTGGCCGTCCAGGTCTTTCGTCATCTTCAAGGGATTCCTGACCCATGCGAAAGACTTTCGATAGTTTCAAGAAAACCAAACCTATTGTGATGATCAGAATATTTACACTCACGTTTCTTAATTTCGGATAGGGAGTCCAATATGCAGTTAAAAATGTTTACACGGAAGTTCTCCGACTCTGTAAATTGATCATCACTGCTAGGACCACCATATTCACCAAACTTAGTAGGTACCTTCCTTTTGCGCCGATTATCAGCCATATACTCTCTCCTACACTGTTCTTTCGCTGATCGTTCCACGTCATCAAAGTTGTTCCTTACTTCTTGAAGAAAACCACATCACGAGTCGTAATAGGCAACTATTAAACAACTTTATTAAACCTTTCTAGAATTAAGCACCATAGTGCTGCCATAATGGTTGTCTCAAGGGAACTTAGCTTTTCGTTTGTAGTTCTGGCTTCATTTCTTGTGGAGTGCCTCTCGTCACAGTCACTAGCAATTTCATCTAAACTTTTTAAAATTCCTTCTCTGCTTTCATTAACAGCTCGGCAGGCGTCGTAACGAGCAGACCACTATCTATGTGGTGAAGCGCTAAAAAAGTTATACGGCTCCTGGAGCAATCCAAAAAAGGAAACAGTCTCAGTTGCACACGAGCCTACTAGGTTTAAGGAATGTGCAGAACAAGGTACATACTCCGCCAGAAGACTGAGCTGTTCGATACGAGCTTAAACTCCAGAGTAAATGCCTGACATATTCGAGGCGTTATCATATGATTGGCCTCTATAATTGGAAATGTCCAAATTAATTCTTTTTTAAAGGCCCAATACTGTGTTTACAATCTCTTCTGCTTTGTGACCAACATTTGGCACAAAACAAGTAAATCTCTCAATCGCCATATCTAATTACGAAGTTAAGTTGGTCCGCATGTAAAATGTCCGGCGTGGAGTCTAATACAATGCCAAAGTATTTTGCTTCTTGAACTTCTTTCAAAATTGTGTTCCTAACTTCTTCTGCCATAAGAGCGAAAAGTTTTTCATAAGTAGTTTTCGAAATGTACGACGTACTACCCAAACCTTGGTCGCCGTATTGACGTAAATGTTCGGCCATAAAAGGGTCGAATTCGGCTAGAAATTTCAGAAGTTTAATGAAGTTTCCACTGTTAAGTTTATCTAAGTGTTCATCAGATCCTCGGAGAGCCAACTCTGCACCACTAAGTTTTAATATTTCTATTCAAGAAAATATACCCCTATGGGTATTACTGTCACCACATCCATCAATATTCTTGTTTTCAAAGATTACACAAGTTTGTTAATTGTATTAACATTGCACCTCTTTGTCGTTATTCTTTCTGGTCGATTCGACGTGAGACAGAAAAAGCTGGAAGAACCACGTTTCGAATAAGTTAATATCGAACCATTAGCTCGAGCTGCTCGCATATTTTATTCCTCGTGGTCCACCTTGGGTCCAGTTGTCGTACAGATTTAAAGCCTTGTATATAACCATCGGTAGTAAAAGGTCTCCATTGGCATTTCTACAAACCATTAAACTGATGGTAGCGCGAGAATTTTCCTGAAATCTTTCCACTCTCTTCGTGTTCCTCGACACCACCACCTTCCTGGATCCAGGATCATCAGACACGTTTGTTTCGTCATAGTTATATAAATTTGCGCTTTGCACTTCTCTGATTACTAGGTTAATATTGTTGAAGAAATTTAAAATATCATTACGATCCATTAATGCTCGGGATCTTTTTGAAGCCATTCTGACGCTTAAACGGTTCCTCTTTATAAATAATTCTAAGAAATCAGGTCCAGGGAAGTTATTTTTGAATATTAGAAAATGTTTTCCTTGTTTGTCAAATAATTTTTTAATTACGTCACGAGTATCCATCTTTGTGAGAGGAAACCCCCAGTTTGCCACAACACCCAATGTGCTTGAAATGAGAGCCTCTTCTTGATCACTTAAGACCTTTGGTTTCGAGTATGCACCGACAAGTCTTCAACCTAACGTAGTCCGTTCTACTTTGAAAGTTTGAACAACTTGTTTTCTCGACATGCCTGCATTTACTGCATCTATCGCTTCGCGCAGAACCCTCTCTGAATAATTTCGGTAAGTTCTTGCTCCCGGTGTTTTTCGGTAAGTGCAAACCATTTTTAATCTCTATTTACCTGTAACAATAGAAAGCCAACGATAGAACACAAAAAAACCTAACCTAAAAAAAAAAAAAAAAAAAAAATACATGTGGTGTGCAAATTACCCCGTGTTGTGCAAATAGCCTCAATTTACAGTACACAATCAATGTACCTGGATTAGTGGTACTTTTGCTTCTCAGAAATTTCCATTTATCCGAAATTGTTACACAGTTTACTGTACCAAATAAAAAATTTAAATATTACAGGTCATTTTCAAACTGTTCCAGATAAACTAATTAACAGAGGGGGTATTTTCTTAGTGAGGCTGTAGGCTACCTCTACTTTCAGGTGTGTAGATGAGCCAGAGGTAGTAAACCTTAAATCAGTGGTCGCCAACCTCTCAATGTGTTGAGCTACTTTGTTAATTTTGAAATAAACAGCGAGCTACCCACACGGAAGCCACGTAACGCAACGTAAATGAAATAATCCACAGTTATATGTATTTATTTTACTATTTAACTGGTAATACATAATACATTGGTACTAATAATAAACTAATAACAAAATAACTAATATTACTAGTACGTACTTGTTCATAACTACATTCCTACCTACCAAACGAAGGTGTTTGAAAAATAAACAGAAACTTTTATCCAGTCACAACGGCATGTCACGTAAGATTTAAAAATAGTTAATAATAACAACAAAAAAATAACGCACTATCATGAACATTAACATTGAAAAATAAAAAAGCACGTTCAATAAGAAGGCTGACATTCAGACTCATCGATAATTTTTTTAAAGTTTGCAGTATAATTTGATACAGCCATTCGAATACAATTATCCAAATGTTCATTTGTAAGTCGATTGCGATATTTGTTCTTAATAAACTTCATATTGGAAGAAGAAGATTCACACAAATAGGTTGAACTGAATAATGCTTTCACTTTCAAGGCAACATGGCATAGAACTGAATATTTATCTTTACTTACAATAGGCTAGTTACATTTGGTACTTGAGACTAACGATTTTAAGGCTAAATCATTTTGAAACTCAATTACTTCCATTTCTGTTGCAGCGATGTCTTCGCCAAAGTTCTGCATGACACAAGTTGCAAACTGTTGGATATCAATTTCCATAAAGGGTGAAATAACAAACTGCGCTACTAAAGCCATTTCGTTAAAATCCTTAAAACGATTTTTGAAGTTATTCTTCAGGGTAGAAACTATTTCTACATGATATTTGCTGTCATAGGGTTCTAATGGATTTTGAGATATTTTTTCTGAAAGAATAGGAAAATGCTTGGCATCGCTGTTAATTAGGTTTTGTTCCCAAAACTCCAGCTTTTTGATAGATGCTTTTATATCAGAAATCATTTCCGCTAGTTCTTTGTCTCTCCCCTGAAGCTGCAAATTAAGTTCGTTTAATTTCTCTGTAATGTCCACGAGAAAACCAAAATCTCTAAGCCAGATTGAATTTTCTAGTTCCTGAGTCGGTTCATCGCGTTGTTTGAAAAATTGAACTATACCAGATGACATCATTAAAACGTTTCAGCACCCGTCCTCTACTTAACCATCGGACTTCAGAGTAAAGGAGTAGGGCCCCATATTGACAGTCAACTTCATTGGCCAAGGTTTTGAATAATCTTCTTTGTAACGCTCGAGCTCTAATCTTGTTCACAATTTTTACCACCAGTTTCATAACGTTGTTTAGTTTCAGGAAATTTCCACATAATGCTTGCTAATGGATAATGCAGTGGTTACAGAGAAATTGCGGAAAAGTTTCATCTTTACGACATAACGCTACCAGACCCTTATCACAACCCACCATAGCTGGAGCGCCATCGGTTGTCAAGCCTACCATTTTCGATATTGGAATTTTCTCGGAAGAAATAATATTTTTTAAATGAGAAAACAACTCCTCTGTTCAGTAGTGTGTCCTTTCAGTGGAATAAACTTCAAAAGATCTTCTTTAATCGTAAAATCACTAAAAACCATTCTGACAAACACGGCCATCTGGGCAGTGTCAACGACATCTGTTGATTCATCCAGTTGAAGTGAAAAATAAACACAGTTATCTAAGTCAGTTCTTAACTGTAAAAAAATATCATTGCTCATTACTTCTACACGTCTTATCACTGTATTAGCAGAAAGTTGCATAGATTTTATAGCTGAAACTATCTCGTCTTTATTTCTAAAGTTGGCAAATAACGAATCAGCAGCTTCTAAAAACGCCTGTTGTATCATTTCCCCGTCTTCATAAGGTTTCTTTTTTATGCATTTATCTGGGACACACGGTACGATGCTTCAGTTGCAGTCTTATTTTTGTCGACTGTTCTTAAAAATATTGATTGTTGTCTAATTAACTGCTTTTTTAGTTTCTCCTTTCTGGCGGCAGAATGTAGTGGGAATGCTTTTTCAAAATTAGAATGTACAGTTTTATGATGTCTCTCAATATTTCCTTTTTTAGCAACGGAGACCGAAGTATTACATAACAAACACACATTTTTATCTTTAACTTCTGTAAAAAAGTATTGTTCTTCCCATTCCGAATGAAAGTGGTATGTCTACCTTCTTACAACTGCTTGCCATAATATTATTTTTTATTGTTCTCTACTAACCAATCGCTGGACGTTGATTACGCGTTCAGTTTTAAACTAAGCGCAATGTCGCCGCGCCGTGCGTATTTATCCCGTTCAAAGCAATCCTGATCGTTCTCGAACACTAACGCGCTGGTCCGGCTGGTCGGTTCTAGCCGATTCTAACTTGATGGCGTCAGCGGCAGATCGCTTACCGCAACGTTGCCGCTGTTTATGTTTAATATTATGACAATTAGATTTTTTTGTGGAATTTTCGGAAGCTTCTCTGATTTTTGCAGTTTGTATTTTACCGGTAGCTCGCGATGGACAGGTTGGCGACCACTGCCTTAAATAAATAAAAACAATTATTATAATATTAATGTTCCAAATAGTAAACAATCCCAGTTAACCAAGACACGTTATAATTACGTGAATAATAGGTTGTAAAAACCACCACGTAACATTGCCTAACGACGTAACTACGTAGTTTTATCCCATTTTAACGTTTCTTAAGCTACGTGGAAAAGATGTTGGTATAAGTAACGTGTAATAAACGTTTTCGTCATACTGTACTATTATCTTACCATAATATGAGCGAAATTGATATCGAAAAGGTGCATTTAACGGCCGCCGGCTGACATTTAATTCTAACCAAACGTTTAACAAAAACATCAATAAATTTGACGTTTACGGTTCTACTGTTTTTAGTTTATTTCTAAATATTGTTTACAGCTGATAAAAATAGTTGAAAGGTATGTAATTGGTAACTAAACGATTGTATATTTAATGCATGTTATCTAATTACTTTATAAATATATTTATAAAAGTGAAAAAACATATAATTTAGGTAAACAAAACGAACAAAACACACTCAAAAAGACTACTGTCACTTTAATTGTCAGTAGATCCATAATTACATCATCAATAAACTAGCGTATTAGGAAAGAGGCCATTTTGATTGACTAAATGACAAATGATGTCAAATGTCAATTGCTAATCAAGTTTGGCGCGAAATTTGAATTTATATAATAGTTTTTTGAAGATCTATAAGTAGTAGTAATAGCTTTAATTATTTAGGTACATATTGTATTTATTAACAAAAATAATTTTGTCATTATTATAGGTGCAATAAACAATTATTTAAATATAATTACAGGTACAAAATAAAAATAGTGCTATTTTGCTTTGTATCAAACTAAACTTCAAATTGACGATATAGGTACATATAGGTATATATTGTAAACACTTTGGACTAACCCAATAAAATAAAATTTGACAGAAGTTACTAAACGTTGCTTGCACGTTATATTTGCGTTAATTTTAACTGCGTTAATTTTAACTACGTTAAAAGTAACTCAATATCTACGTGTATTACTTAATAAGTAACGTGGCCTAGTACAATTTGATTGAAGATACTAACGTTGCTTACATGTTGCATTTGGGTTAATTTTAACTACGTTAAAAAATAACTTAATATTCACGTTTATTACACATTGGGCAACGTGTCCTGGTAGACTGGGATATTACTTACATATTTATATATGTACAGGGTGTCTGTAAAAGGTCTTTACAAAAACATACCACATATTTCTTAGACCAAAATAAGTCGATTTAAGTAAAATTACCTTAGTACAAAGTTGCTTCGTTTGGACTCCAGAGGGCCTTGAAGTTACAATTTTTAAATCGTTTTTCCCATATAAATTTAAAACGGCATATGCGATTTTGCTGAAATTTGGTATATTGGTAGAGTTTTATGTTGCAAAAAAAATGGTATTAAAATTTTGTCCGATAATAATATATAGGCGTAGAACTTGATTTTTTAAATAATTGCACCTTTAAAAATTCTACGCCAATGGCAGAAAAGGAGTTTGAGTATGAAATTTGGATTGGGTACTCATTTACTACAAAAAAGTACCCTTGATAACACTCGATTTACTCTCATGGTTTCGACAAAGTTTGTATTTTAATAATTATTGTTCACCATTTTCACGCATACAAAGATTTATACGTCGAAGAAAATTAAAATGTATCATTTCCATAACTTCTTCATCACCTCTAAGATTGTTTATTGCATCTTGAATACGTTGCCAAAGTTGTTCCTCATTTTTTACAGGTTCCCTGTAAACTGTGGATTTCAGATTTCCCCATAAAAAGTAATTCATCGGTGTTAGGTCTGGGGAACGTGGTGGCCAGTTTACAGGTGCGTCATTACCTCTGCCTATCCATTTGTGTGGATATTGTTCATTCAAGTGGTTTTTAACGTTTAAAGAAAAATGTGGTGGAGCTCCATCTTGCATAAACCACATATCTCTCCGAAGTTGGAGAGGTAAATCTTCTAATAATTCTGGCAACGTATTTTGTAGAAAATCCAGATAATTTTCTCCAGTTAATCTTCGTGGAAGTATGACAGGACCAACAATGAAATTACCAATTATTCCAGCCCACACATTAATTTTGAATTCGTGCTGAAAATGATTTACCTTTATTGCATGCGGATTTTCAACGGCATAAACATGTTCATTATGGGTATTAGTTATACCTCTTCTTGTAAAACTTGCTTTATCGGTAAAGAGAACCTTCTTGACAAAGTTTGGATCTCTTTCTCTTTGCATATTAACAAATCGACAAAAACCCAAACGAATTTGAGAATCATGGACTAATAATTCTTGTACTGGCTTCTTATGGTATGGATATAGCAATTGTTCCCTAAGCACTTTATGAACGACATCTTTACTTACTCCTAGTTCCCTTCCAATTCGTCTGGTGCTTAATTCTGGATCTTCTTCAACACGTTCTAAAATGTCTTCTTCAACTTCAAGAATCCTTACAAAACGTTTTCTTCCATTATCAACAGTGTTGGGAGCAAAGGAACCGGTCTCCCGAAGACGTCTCTCAACAGCAGCAAAAGTTTGGTGGCTAGGTACACGACGATTTGGAAACCTTTCAGTTTCAGAGTACACCCTGACACTCTCTCGAGTATTTCCTTCACAAAATCCTAATGTCAGTAACATATCGGTATATTCTGCATTGGTATATTGTACAGCCATATTAATAAACTACGCATTTGTTTTTTTTAATTATTGAGTCAGATAGAACACTTTCAATCGTTAACAAGATATTAGGTGTTAAAACTTGACAATATTTTTATTTAGATGAAACTATGGAAACCAACAATAAATTTTTTTCTATACGTATTGCAGGCAAATGATTAATATTCCTCAAAAAATCGTACATGGCAAGAATCGAGTATTTTTGTTAAAAGTCTCGATTAGAGGTGTTGAAGAAGATATGAAAAAAGTACATTTTTATGTTTTTCATCGTATAAAATTTTGTCCGATAATAATACATAGGCGTAGAACTTGATTTTATAAATAATTGCACCTTTAAAAATTCTACGCCGATGGCAGAAAAGGGGTTTGAGTATGAAATTTGGATTGGGTACTCATTTTCTACAAAAAAGTGCCCTTGATAACACTCGATTTACTCTCATGGTTTTGACAAAGTTTGTATTTTAATAATTATTGTTTATGTTCTAAAATTACTAAAATGCAAATTTCGTCAAAACCATGAGAGTAATCGAGTCTTATCAAGAGTACCTTTTTTAAAGTAAATGAATTGCGCAATATAAATTTTATACTC